TTCTACTTAATATAGTAATAAAAAGCTTAGAGAATATTAAATTGTTATTAACTAATCTAGCAAAAAATTTATATATTAAAAATAGGGATTCAAAAGTTATAGACTTACTTAAAAAAAATTTCAAATTTAATTATATAACAAAAAAAACAAACAAGTCTAAAATTATTTTTTAGCAATAAATAACTGTAATTCTGAAGGCAGTAAATATAATTTTTATTATTTTTTTTTTTTAATTATTTTAGTTATTTTAAATTTGTAAGCAATTTTATTTACAAGTTATTTAAAATAAGTAATTTAGAATTACATATACTGTACTATAAATATTATATACTATTTAGTTTTAGTAACTTAAGGCTTTATATCTATTCTAGAATTCTTTATGTATTAAGAAATTTTAAAAAATATTTTTATTAGTAGTGTTATTTTATGCAAGAAGTACTACTATAGTAAATTATTACTATTAGACAATTAATTTCATAATTTAAATAATAATCAAAATACTTTATTTGAGTGTTTTTGTTTGATAACTTAAGAGATTAATATATAATAAATTTTATTTTAATTAATAGAATAAAGATTTTATTAAAAATCTAAATTTATTTTATAATTTACTTTTAAAATAAAACTAATCATGTTATATTTACAGAAAGTTCAGTCTTCTTGTATTGTTTTTTTAAATACTTTTGCTAATATCATAGTAGTTACTACAACTCTAAAGATGCATCTTACCATTATTATTATAAATCTAAATTCTCAAAAGCTGAAGTTTTACTTGTTCATTCTCTTGAAAATGTGTTTAATTAGATTTAAACATTTTAATTTAAAATTTTTAATAAATAAAAATTAATATTTAATTCTTACATTTTTATAATAGTAAGATGAAACAAAACAGAATTTATTTGCAAAGAATTATCTATAGTATTCATTTTCTACTAAGACATGTTATGGAGCAAAGTATTGTATTTAAGATATATTAACATATAAGTATATCAAATAAAAACCTAAAATAGTAATTTTTTAATTATTATTTTGGGTTTTTACTTGGCATTATTTACTTTTTTACTTATGAGTCTTATTTATTATATTAAATTAGTAATATTTTATTGATATTTATTTAAATACAACATTTGTCATCCTTATCATTATCTAATTTTAAACTAGAAATATTGATGAGTAAGGATGAAATGATTAATTTTGAAGATTTTTGAATGGTAAAACTTATTTATATTGTATGTTTTAAATATTTTAATATACTGTATAATAGATTTGTATTTATTTAGTTGATATATAAAAAAAATATGCCTATTAAATTAGGATTTATATTTTATATAATAAATTTTAAAATATAGAAATGCTTTTTTTTTGTTAATTTTTTATTTTATTTTAATAAAGTTAATAGAATTATATATATACTAATTATTTGAATTATAAATTAATAGTATATGTTATATATAAAGTAAATATTGTAATTTTCTTGCAATAATTTAGATATAAGTTTTTATTAAGAGCATATTATATAAACTAAATATTTTATAAAATTATATATATATTTGCTATATTGAAGGTATATATAATAAACCAGATGTTTTATAAAATTATATTCAAGTTTGTTATATTGAAAAACCTTAGAGAATTGAAATATAGATATAATTAAGTAAAAATTCTAGCTTTAAAGCTTTGTAATATTAAGGTTATACTGTATTTGTAATTAGAATAAGTTTGTAATTTGTATTTAAAAAAACTTCTAAAGACCTCTTTAACAAATTAATAAAGATATAAGCAAAACCTTATTTTAACTTAAAAAAAAAACTAGATGACTATTTGCTTAATATAATATTAAGATTAAAGTATTTAAATAAGAAATCTTCTAGTAGATTATAAATATAATAATTAGTATAGAATCTGTAAATAGATTATTTAAATAGATAATTAAAAGTTATATATATAACTAGTTATATATTTACCTTATACAAGTTATATATATCTATAATAAAAACATAATAAAAATAATACTGTAACTATTATAAATATCAATTTTAGCAAAGGATGATGATCCTAGTGTATTGGTTGGGTTGTTATCCTCTAAGTAGCAAATCTAAGGTTTAAATCCTACTTATGATGAAATTTGGAAATTATACTTGTGTTACAATAACTGTTTTCTGTTGATCAGTTGGCCTTATGTGACTGTAACTCAGGTACACCAAGTTAGGTTCTACTGACATTGGGAGCTTGGAACATCTATGTGAAGTGTAATGTTATATATATATAGAGGAATATATAACCAGTATTGCATAAAACTTTGGTGCAAACCCACGATAAGACCACTGAGTATAGAAGACTAAAAAACTGAGATGACGGAAACCTACTTGAAAATTTCTGAGTAAAAAAATAGCATGAACTTTTGACAGTACTATTGGACTGATTGAAGCCCATGAAACATCTTCATAGAAATCAAAGATTAAAACTGGATGGCAAATATATATAAAGAAGCATATAACTAACCAGGTCATCAGGTTCACTAGAAGAAAAGAATACAGAAGTATACCATACTGGGCCATCTAAATTGGTAGTCTGAAATGAGACTGATGATTTTGAGTTATGACTAGTAGGAAATAATAGAGAAGATGCTAGAAAGATGGGTACTGGAGTTCTAGTGAACTTTACAAGGATAAAAATAGTGTAATGTAGTAGTTAAACAGGTAATCTTTGTGCTGCAAGTGTTAGGTAACTATAGCATGTTGCATAAAACTAGGTCTATATATGTAGGACATAAAGGCTCTAGTAAGTTTCTTGTCAAGGATAAAGTAGTTCTAAGGGTAACAATCAGTATTGAGAACTTGAATAGATGACACTTTAAAATGTTCTCATAATACAAGAAGGACTGCATATACAGAGAGTTTAAAAAGATAAAACTCTTAGTTGGCTTACAGGTATGGCAACTAGTATAGAACTTATATAGCAATATGTAAGCAGACTACTTAATTAAGCACCAAAAGTGCATGTGTAGCTAGTTGTAACCTCCAATGTAAGGTGAGCCTCTAGTGGCATGCCATGTTCTAACATACTTGAATAAAAATGTTATATCCTCAAGGCAGGGACTTTAACTTTAAAAAAAATATATATATCAATTTTAGCAAAAATAAAAATAAAATAAAAAAAAATAAAAAAAAATAAAAATAAAAATAAAATAAAAATAAAAAAAAATAAAAATAAAAATAAAATAAAAATAAAAATAAAAATAAAATAAAAATAAAAATAAAATAAAAGATTTTAAAATAAAAATTTTGTAATATTTATATTAAAAATTTTTCTTTTAAATAAAAATATTAAAAAAAATTTAATTAAAAAAATATAAGTAAACATTCTTTTAAATATAAAGAATGTGTTATTTTTGTTTGTTCCTAAAAATTTATTTATAATATTTATAATTTAAATATTATTAAAAAAAATTTATAAAAGTATAATAATTTTATAAAGTAGATAAATTGTCATCTTTCAAGTAATAAATTGAAAGTTTAAAATTTACTGTTTTTTATTAATTAATTGAAATAAAATATCTATAATTATAATTATAATAATATAACTAGTAGATTATATAATATTTATATAAGCTTGATTATATAGAAAGATGCAAATTAGTACTGAATAATACAAACTCAAGATAAGTTCTTATAATTATATAAATTCATAGAACTAAAAAAATAGAAACTTATTTGAAAAGACCTAAGTAAAGAGATAATATAAATCTTTAATAATATTATTATAAAGTCTAGACTTAAAAAACAAATATCAATATAAAAAAATCAGATAAGTAAAAATCTTTAGATAAAGAGTATCACCAATCAGGCCATCAAAATTCAAACTAAACAAAAAATATTAGACCAAACCAAATATATCAAGAACAAATTATAATCATATTAGAATATCTAAATTAAAAATCTAAGATCAAAACAGAAATATACTAAAATACTAGAAATATGTTATAAAATTGATACTAAGGCTTGAATAACTCTGCAAGAACATAACCTGTTAATGGTCTATAAAATGACCAGGTTAATTAACAAAAAGACACTTAGAGCATTACAGTTAAATACCATGCTCTAAATATGTAACAGCTTAAAGACACATAAAAGAAAAATTAAATATTAAATTAAATAACACTTAGATGTGTAGAAACCAAGCATTATTCATTTGATGCAATATAAGGATTAGAGAGTTTAATTAGGTAATCTTCTAGTAGATTATAAGTATAACAACTAGTATAGAATCTATGAATAGACTATTTAAATAGATAATCAAAAGTTGCATATGTGAATAATTGTACACTCATCCTTGTACAAGTTATATGTAATATATAATTAAACTTACAATAAAAACAATAACTGCTGTAAACATCAGTTTTAGCAAAAAGCAAAAAAACAAAAAAAAAGAAATCTGTTATTAGAAGACAAATTTATATGTTCAGACACAATTACGATGCTAAAAATTTTCGTTATTTCAAAATATTCGCTATACAAAAATTTGTTATCTCGAGCGTTGACTGTATTATAAAAATAATATAACTACCCATAATTTTGATTTATACAGTAGATCGAACACCTCAATTACTCTTGGCGTTCTCAAGCACCACCCTAGACGTAATTTCTAGAGATCGAAATATTGACAAATATTATGACGTAATTTTAGTTATTCTCGAAATTTTCGAATAGATATTATTGAGATTTGCTAATTATAGTGATATTCAATTGTTACAATAGATTAAAAAAAGCTTTTATCGATGATAAGTGTTTTATTAAATAAATGTAACCAAAAATTTATAAATAAAATAATGATAAAAAAATATCAGCCCAGCTGTTTTAATTAAAAATTCTATTCTATTCTATTAACCTATAAAAAAATAAATATATTTAATACACAAAATTATAAGATTTTAAATTTTTTTCAGATTCACCGTGATGAAATCACAGGTTTTTTATCGTTATATTAAATTCCATTGTTCGTCAATTATTTGTCATTTTTTCTCTCCATGATCTACCTTTGAAAAAAACGGCTATTATTAAAAGGTTAGAAAGTACCATTGATAAACTAAATAGTGTAAACATCCATTTAATTCCCAAATATTCCTCTAATGGTGCCTCAATCATAGAAACACCGGCCTCCACAAATAAGCGAATACAATGAAACACAGCTATTATTGATGCACTTTTACTTCTATTTGAATCCACTAAATATGTTGATATTGAATTGAAGATTATTTGTACTCCAAAAGTTCCAAGAGACCATAAAACTAAGAATACAGATATATGGATTTCTCTATCAAATAACCAACCATAAAGTATATAGACAACAGGGACTATAATAGTAGCAATCCAAATACTGTTAATTCGAACCTCAGGTTGAATTGGTTCATTATTGTTCTTTTGTCTACTTTGTTTCCATTTAATTACAAAATCATTATATTTCCCACCAATAAAACTGCCTAACATTAATCCGATACCTGATGGAACAAACATTATACCAATTGTTGAAGCGGAGAAACCATATTTCTTAGGAAAATTCTTTGGAACAACCAAAAGTTGAATTTGGACAAATGTATAAACTATGCTTATGTAGAGAATTGAAATTGTTACATTTGGATAACGTAATAATTTAAAGGGTAGAAATGGGTTAAATCTTTTCTTTGGTGAAGATGATTTTACTTCTTCAGTTTCAGATTCTTCGACATCAGATTCTTTTGATTTATTTGAATCTTTACTACGGAATGTTTCGAGCACAAATAAAAGTATTGCTATGTAAACAATTCCAGACATTATTGTTAAATACCAAAATATGGATCTCCATCCCAAATATTGTGTAAAATATCCTCCAAGTAATGGTCCAAGTAAAATAGAGAAGGTGTATATAAGATAAAAACATCCATAAGCAGATCCACGTTCTGAATTTTTAAAAGAATAAATAAAAAATATAAATAGAAAGAATAAAATCTTTAGGTTATTTTTAAAAGAATTCAATAATTACCGGTCAATTCATACATGTCGGCAATAACACCACTTCCAATTGCAACCAATGATGACGTTCCACATGCCTGGATACCGCGACCGACCATCAGGAACCAAATGTTTGGAGTAATGGCACAAATAATACATGAAGCAAGAATCAATGGCATGCATATTAAATAAACTCTACGTCTAGTTTCAAATGTATCAGAGAAGGCGGCCCAACCGATTTGCTGTTTTTAAATAAAGCAATCATTACTTTAACACGTGATTTAACCAAAAGTTAAAATTTTAATACGTAGGAAAACACTTACACCAAAACCCATAAAAAATATAAATACAGAGGCTATTGCAATATATCAATTAGGATTAAATAGCTCGAATTATACTACATTATATTTAATAAAGTCTTACCTAAGATGTTTACAAAGATTTCGGGAGCTTGAAAGTCAGAACAAATCTGTACAAGTGCCGGATATAGAATGCTGATAATGATAATCGATTAGATTAAAAAAGAGAAGAAAAAAAGAAGGAAAAACAATAAATCTAAACCTACGTATCAGCCATTGGAGATATCATAGCCGCGATAGAAACAATTAAGAGGATCAATCTCTTCCTCCAGATCGATAAATTTTTGGAATTGTCGAGTTTATTAGAATCTTCGATGTCGCTATTAGTGATGTTAATGGTATTAGAATCGGAAAATTCATTTTCTATAGGTGAAGGGTAATTGTTTGGATTATCAACTTCGACAACAGTTATCGAACTGACATTACGATCAATGTTTTGAGACATCTCAACGTTAAAAAATAGATTTTCCTTACAAAAGGGAAATACTACTAAGGGAATAAAGGAATGTGATAATATTTTGGTTGTTGGAAGAGAAGAAGAACGACTATAGTGAATACACGAATTCACTCATACCATTATATACACATCTATAGGTGCAATTGACGTTAAATTTTATTTGTTATTCTTTAGTATACAGTCGATACTGTCTAATTGCATATACTCTCTAAATACATAAAAAATTTTGGTTTAAATTATTAATACGTATAAAAATGATTCTATAATAAAAATGCATATATTATCTAGATAGATAAAAAATTTCTCGACAGATGGCATGCATAATACAATCGATACTGCCTAATTGCATGCCATCTGTCGAGAGAATTTTTATCCATTTAGCGTTAGATAGTATGCATTATAAGAATTAATAATTTAAAACCAAAATTCTTTATGCAATTAGAGAGTACGTATATGCAATTAGACAGTATGCAATTAGACAGTATGCAATTAGACAATATGCAATTAGACAGTACGTATGCAGTTAGACAATATGCAATTCGACAGTATCGACTGTACATATATTTCCTTTAAACTCAACATACGTATTTCCTTTAAAATCAGTGATGTACAGCACTTTTTTTTATTTCCTTATTTGTATTCTTGATCTCTACATATATAAATAATAAATACCCGCATCAAAAAAGTAACCTTAACTCATCCAAATAAGGAAATCGAAAGATGTAATCTCTGTTCATTTACTCGCATCTTTAGTTTTTTTGGTTTCGCTAGATCTAATACGTCTAAAGGTGCGTTGACCTAAATTGGTTTCAAAGGGATGTTTCGTCTGATTGGTAACTCAATAACAATGTATTTTTAAAACTATATAATATTGAATTTAACGATAATCAATAATGAGTGGATAAATTATCCAACTAATTGAATGTGGTTTAAGAAAAAAAAAACAATTACTTAACATTGTTTAAGAATAAACTTTAACAAGATATCTCTTTATATCAGAGAATGATCGATTTCTAACTTTAAACCATGAGATTATAAATAGTAATTAATAATTTTGAAACAAGTAATTTAATTTTTTTCTTATATAGAAAAAAAGGAAATTTAATTATAACAAAGAAAAGCTATTGTTATACATTAATCATAACCAACTCTTAATTTACCTCTATCTTACGAAGAATTAGTGACACGTCAAGGATAAGATTAGAAGTCACCAAAATGAATAATTCTAGGTTTGAAATTCCAATCAATTTAACAGGAAGGTTTTTTTCACAAATTCAATAACCTGATCACCTAATTTCTATTTAAGCACTTGAAGATTTGGTAGTGAGGCTACCCTTGAAGATTACAGACGCAGTTTTCGGGAAACGAGCCCTATTACAACCATCCAATTACGGTATAACAAGTTAACAGCAATTAACAACAGATGCCCAGAAGAATGGTAACGGTCATAAAGCTTGCATGCATCCATATTAAAGTTGTTTTGCTGATTTGCTTCACGTCATAGGATTCATCTTTTTCATAATAATGCTGTATCAAATAAAGCGCTTCATCAAGGTTTTGTGGAGTCCATAGTTTGTTGATGATAATTGCTTATCCTTTAATTTAATAAACACTTGGTCTTCAGGTTGACTACCTCCTTGGGAATGAAAAATGGTTTTATTAAAAGTAACAAAATCGTCGTTTTCATAGTTTCTAATTTGTCCAAATAAGTACCACGATAATGATCGCTAGGATTAGGGTCAGTGTTATATATGGGACAGTTTGGGACAAATTTGAGATTTTAGAGAAAAATGTTAATAACTAAGATTTTATTATGACCTTCCAAATAAAAAATGTTTAAAAGTCAATTTTGCATATGCATCAGTATTGTTTTGATTTAGCTTGCCAAGCTAAGAATTGAGGAATTGATGGGACAAAGTTGGGACGTCCCAGAGGGTCAGAATGTACAACACTGGTTAGGGTTGATCAGCCATGGAATTTGATAAATTAATGACAAGATTAATACTTTTATTTGTTTTCTAGCTCCTATTATTCTTACTGTTTCTACCTAATTTTCCAGATGAATCCGATCCCAACCTGGTACACGTATGTCTAGGTGCAATTTTTTAGGGTATCTTAACTTTATGTAGGAATATCGATTTACAGTAAAGATAAGGATGTTATGAGTACATCTATTTATCCATCAATACTATCAAATACCCATAACACGTAATTAATGAATTTTAAAGAATTAGGGCTAGGGTCCGCGTTGAGGTTAAGATAAATTGGGAAGACTGGTTTATGTAATGCTACAAGATAAATTTAGACTGCTATTTTCTATATTTTTTGCATTTTCCTCTTTTTTTTGCTTTGTCGGGATGATCAAAATACTCTATTTGATTGGTCAATCATCACGCTGATGGTAACGCGGGATGTTATCAGTAATGATGCCTGACGAATGACGAGACCTTTCGTCAAGTGATTCTGAGTGACGAATTGACGATCGACGAAACCTCGAAATCTATGACGAATTGATGAAACCCTTGATGAATAGATTTGATAACATAACATAACGAAATACAGTCGACTCTCTTTCAACAAGCTTCTTTATGATAACCTTTAAATATGCTAAATCTTAAATCTTTTAAAAGTAACATTATTTAATAAAAATTTCGATAGATTATAACTGCAGAACTTATACACAAGCAATAAAAACTCCTAAAACTAAATTGCCAATCAGTAATTTTCTTCTGCTTTATAAGGATTAGTAAAACAAAATAGAATTTTTTGTTAATTTGCGACTATATCAAGAGTAACTATATCGAATCTGATCACGTGCGAAAGAAGAAAATGAAATTTTACATATAGTAGGGATAACCATCGCGATAAGGTAGTTAGTAAAGTAGTACTGTACGATTGTACAAATATGTGCGGACGTACGAAAATTGAGCAAAATTTTGATCGTATGTACGGTTAACATGTTCATAAAATCAATTTATAAGTCCATTATTTAAGTATATTAGTATCTTATTAAGAAAAATTTTTGGTTTTGAAAACTTTTAGGTGATTGAGCCTAAAGTTAGTAATATTGCATAAGGGTTTATGATTATGACATTCAGAACAAAGCATTTTTCTATAACCACACATGAAAAAAGAACGATACTCATACTTTCCCTAACTCTAAACATTAAAAAACGATTTACTTGTAAAAGATTGACAAGGATGTGACGAATCATTGGGTGTGGCTAATAAGCATAATGGAAAATCCATTTAATTGATTGTATAAAAATATAATTGATTATATGGGGTGACATCAATAGAAATGGGACAAATTTATTAGATATATTTGTTCCATTTCTATTGATGTCACCCCATATGATAAAATCGTCAACGAATCTGATTATATTTGATTAAATTTGCCAAAAGCAAGTAGCATCGAATAATAAAATTTCTTTAAATTTTCATCGGTTGTTTGCTATATAAATTTATGACTTGCAAGTAGTAATTCATAAATTTTTATAACAAACAGACAATAAAATTTTAAAGAAATTTTATTCTTCGATGCTATCTGCTTCTGGCCAATTTAATCAAATATAATCAGATTCGTCAGCAACTTAACGTATAATCGATTGTGTTTTCATATAGAACATTTACTATAGCAGCCAATGAAATTTCAGAGATCGACAACCAATCAAATGGATTTTCAATGCTTACTTATCACCCCATGATTCGTCACATCCTCATGCCGAATGAAAGAGGAGACCTAATCCTTTACAAGTAAACCCTTTTTAATGTTTAGTGTTAGGGCAAGTGCGAACATTGTTCTTTTTTCGTGTGAGGTTATAGGAAAATTGGCTTTGTTTCGAAAGAATTTTTTCTTTTACAAACCGTACGATTTCCACATGTCCGTCCCAATTTGCATTTCCGTACCATATTAATTTACTATATACCGATCTCTATAATCTCCAAGACTAATGTTCTAATCCTAAATACACTTTGCTTACAAAATTTAATTTCCTTTTTTGGAGGTCGCTTAAAGCCAGGTATATTATGAGATTTTCCGATGCCTACGACCAATCAAAATCGCAAATTTTTGTTTACACAGATCAGCCCTACGAAGCAAAAATGGAAAAATACAAGAAACGAGTGTCTAAACCCAATTTGGCGTATTAAGTAAAAATGTTGGAGGACGATTTTACATACCGAATGTTTAACGTCCACTCACAGTCCAGTTTTTTTAGTGACTTTATACAGTTATATATATAGATCACGATGATAATCATCGTGATCTCTATATATAAAGTTAGTTTAAAAAAAGGGACCGTGAGTGGGACTTTTGGTATAATACTTGTAATATTAGCCTATACGGGCCTTAAACTGACCTTAATCTTGACATAAATAGTAATTTGTGATGTACCTGGTTTTAAGCTCCCCTTTTTAGGAATTGTATTACTCACAAAAATAAGTACATCAGTTAACTCTTCTAAAAAGATTTAACATATCATAAAGAAGCTTGTTCGAAGAGAGTCGACTGTATATCAATTACGTTATCAAATTAATTCGTCAAGAGTTTCGCAAATTCGTCATATATTTCATAAATTCGTCATAGTTTTCGTCAATCATCAGGGGTTTCGTCAATCGTCAGGGTTTTGCCATGACGAAACTTTCGTCATCGCAAAAATAATTTCTTCAGTTATTAAACTCATTCGGCACCAGTGTTTCGGGCGAAACTTAAAAAAGGAAATTATAACAATGCACTCGATTATTAATTATTGTTATAATTTCCTTTTTTGGGTTTCGCCCGCAACACAATGAGTTACACCTAGGGATGGTAAAAAAAAATCGATTTGAATCACGTGATGTTTATGACCTGAGGTTTAAATTTATTCGGATCATGGCACATCGGTTTTCTGTGCCAGGTTGTGGCGCAGGCAAATTTTCTGAAGTTTATTAATGTTAGAGTTAGCATTTTGAATAAAGTTAAAGGGTTATATATTTATATAGTAAAA